AAATGGGTCTATATTGATATTCATAGTTTATTAAATGCTAATAAAATTACTAAAAGGAAACCATGCAATTGACATTTTTCCTGTTGTTCCCTATTATATCTCAAATAGACTAATTCTGTACATGTGTCCATCTTAGCTATATTTTACAGTGCAATCCTAAACAGAATGACAGCCTTCTAAGCCCACTGATTGCAAAGGATTTAGAAGGCTGTAACTTTAACCACTACACCACGCCAGCTCTCAAAATTAGCTATTCTGAACGGGAGGGTTTGCCAACTTCCAGCCAGTGTTTAGCTATTTCTATTAACCTGCTGCACTTTTGACCTAATTTTACAAATGACGACGGCATTTTTCTCTGAGGGGAAAAATCCTCTGTAAGTTAATCATTAATAATTTAACATTGCTTCTTTGGTTTTCATAGTAGATATTTAAAATATCCAGGTATTAGATATTTAAAATATCCAGTTAGGTTCTTTAAAAGCAGATTTGTTGCTGGTGAATGCCCGTTCCGGTTCCTGTAAGCTTGGGTGTGTTGCCGCCTTCGTTGTTGTGCTGAAACTTTGGGACTCCTTCCCCAGGGATATTCAACTGTCTCCCTCTGCTGTTGTTTTTGGCCAATGGGTGACTTGTTTCCTTTGGTGTTCCCTCGGTCTTATTAGCCCTCCTTCCTAGTTTGTTTACGTCTGTTTGTGAGCTTATATGTTTTATTGAATTGTTTAAATATTTTATCCGAACTTATATTTTAAATGCTGCTTTAATGTCTTGATGCTTTAATGTTGAAATGTTTTGATGTTCACTTCCTTGGGGACCCAATTTGTATGGAAAGGCAGCACAGAAATGTTTAAATTTTTAAAAAAGAATATTTTATCTCCATGGGGCAATTTCAGCAGCATTCAGCTATCAAAAACAAACCCACAGCCCTCCGTAAAGAAACCCCAGAGCCATTTCCTCTGTCTTTGCTAGACATTTTGTGCTGATATTTGAGGAGGAGTAAGTGGGAGAGCTGCCACTTTTAAAGTTGCCAACTTCCAGGTGGGGTCTGGAGATCTCCCAGAATTACAACTGATCTCCAGAATACAGAGATCAGTTCCTATGGAGAAGATGGCTGCTTTGGAGGGCGGACTCTGTAGCATTATACCGCACAGAGGTCCCTCCCCTATCTGAACCCCATCCCCTTCAAGCTGCACCCCCAGGTATCCTGGAATTTCCCATCCCGGCATTGGCAAGCCTACCTGGTTTGGTTCAGTGGAACTAGAAGTTTCTTTATGTGCCTGATTCTCCTTTGTTTGGGAAAGCAATTATAAGATTTTTGGTCCGTCAGAAGTCTAAAGAAAATCATTCAGATGTAGGAGTTCTGGCTGCCTAATAAGCTGTCTGAATTAGAGTTGGTGAATGATGTGTAGCAAAATCTCCCCAATATTCTTTCAAACATGGAGATATGTGGAATTACGTCATTAAAACCAATCTGGCCTGTGAGAGCAGCCAGCAGCTGCACTTCGTGGCCACAACTTGCTCACAGCTGGAATTGTTCATAATCTACATGAACCAGGAGTTGGGCAAATTCCTTGGGATACCATTTGTCTTGGCCCATGGGGTTCTGACGCATTTTGACAGCTCCGCCAATTGCAACGAGGGCCATGGTATATACTCCTATTTGGGAGAGATGCAGGAATTATGAACCTGCCTTCTACTGAGTCAGGATGACAGTCCACCCAGGTCAGTATTATCTACACTGCCAGAAAGACAAACGTCTTTCCCAATACCTGTGGCCTGAGATCTTTCAACTGGTGATTTCGTGGACTGAGTCTTTGGTAACTTTTGCAAACCATGTGCTCTGGCATTGAGCTATGGCCATTATCAAGGAGGCAAACAGAAAAGCAGATAGAATCATTGAAGGAAGGAAATCCAAAGTGGGGCACTCGAAGCAACAATTCATTTTATTGTGGGCTTTTACTTACTAGAACCTCTTGACGAAAGGCTGACTCATACATGACAGCCCTTACATGGAAGCCAGTTCAAATCAGTCCATGTAGTAGCTGTCACCAGTTGGCAGCACCTCACTCTGCAAAGGCCGGCTAATTTTCTCCATGCCACTGCGATTATTTCCTTTTAGGTGCCTGTGCTAGTGCGGAGAACATTGCTTGATTTGGGTACATTTCAGTGTTGGGTTCAATTTCTGTAAATGCATGTTCCTGGAATAATTTAATTTCCTTCTATAAAAAATGGAGACGCTTGCCCAAACTTCCAAGTTTTGGACTTGTCCATTGTGTAGGATGTGATTCTAGTTCACTGGCAAGTATAATGTGCTGATCTCATGGCTATATGCTTTGCTCGGTCACTAGAGAGGAAGATTACATTTAGGAGCTTGCTCATGACGTGTGCTTGGTTTGCAATTCTTGCATGAATGGGGGGGGGGGAGGCATGCCAGGAATTTAGCTACAGCCTAACCCACAAAGCTGAGCATACGCAAATCTTCCCATATTGGATGCCATTCAGCTGATGCGAGCAGGATGGGCTTTATGCTGTATCTCTTGCCCTCACATTTTTCAACACAGATTTCCCATTTCCCCCCTGCCTCTACATACTGTGGCACTAAGGGATGATTTATCTGTTTGTTATATTTACTATACTATAGATAAAGGACTCTTTTTTTTTGCTGTGAGATATACTATCTGTGACATGTATTCTAAGCCTGCAAATTCTAGGTTCATAAAGGGAATGCACTAGTTAAAACGTCTGCACATAAATACCATAAAAATCCCACATTTGTATATATTTACTAGCAACATGCAAATCATTATGACAAGTGAGGTTTGTGAGCAGAGCTTCTTGGTATGCAGAGTTTGAATGCCAGCGTGTTCTAGTGGTTAGTAGTGGTTAGAGGGATGGACTTATAGTGGTTGGTTAAGAAGCATGAGATTTCAGTTCTAGAAAATGTGACAAAGGACTTCAAATCAGAAAATGCTCTAGTGACACAATAGTCTGTTACACACTCCAGAATGCCCATATACTGGCTCGGATAATTTCTGTGGGCAAAAGGAATTTCCATTCATACAGCATGGCTTCCTTATTTCCCTCTCCCTCTGCAGCCCAAATGCCTTCCGAAAACCTGCTCCTGATGGTCAGGGGACTCTTAAGAAAAACATGGGGGGGGGGGAATTGGTGAAAAGTCTTCCACTGAATCCAGACCACTGTTCTGAAATGGTACTAATGATACTGGGGTAGACTGCACCCTGAAGAACTCTTCTTAAACTCTGGTGCTGTGAAAGCAATCTGAAAATTCTGTGTGTCTCAATACATATAAGATGGCAGGATGTTACTCACAATAGTATATGCTGACTGAACAATCTTAGAGGAAGAAAATGTTTTGAGACAGGAGAAAGGGTTCACCTTTACGACACGGAAACTCAGGGGGTAGGAACCACAACTTTGAAATGTGCTTTTTAGGGAAGGCTAATTAGCCCAACAACACTCTTGCCCTTAAGGATGCATTATCCTTAGTAGTGGATTTAATTTTCTGCTTGTAGCAGAACCTCTGTAGTGTTGTGTCGTAGCGGAAACACTGATACACATGCACACCCTGTTAATAAATTACTTTGGTGGCTGTGCCTGATTGTGGTTTAATAAAGGAAATGGGAGTAGCTGAAGACTGACCTTTTCACCCTCCCTACAGTTATTATTAACACAAAGCATTTAAACTCGATGATCATACAAAGGGCTTTGAGGAAATCTTATTTTCATTCGTGCCTGCTTACTTTATTTTCTTGCTTTCTTATGTAGAAACATTCATTTATTATTAAATGCGACCTGACTTCAGATTATGAAATATTGTGATGCTACAGATCAATAAGTTTTCCAACAGTTATTTGCTATTGCATTGACTGAGGCAAGAAGAACAGCTGACGCAAACAGCTGATGCTCCCCAGTGCCCGCCTTTAGGGCAGCACTTTGCACAACCATCTTCCCCAAAATTCCTTCTCACAATATTGTAAAACTGCCAAATCTGTGGTGGAAAGAGTAGCAAGCCCTGCAAGCATAAGGAAAAATATAAATGGGGTGGTAGTCTCTAGGGATGGGTATGAACCAGCCGACAAACTAAAGTTTGCAATGAATTTTGGGCGGTTCTTGGTTCGCGAAGCAATGTTTATGAACTGAAGAACTGTCACGAACCTTCACAGGTTTCGATGCTGTTCATGGTGGTTTGTGATGAGCAAAAAGCAAGGGTTTAAACTCTTTACAAAAACAGCTCCCCACCACTCAGCCATTTAAACCCCTGCTTTCTGCTCCCTGCAAAAAAGCAGTGGGGAGCAGAAAGCAAAGGTTTAAACTTTAAATGGTTCACGAACTGATACGAACCAGGTCGGTTCACGAACCAACCTTCCCGTTTGTACTGACTAGCCTGGGCTATCCAGCTAGTCAGTACGGCTAGTAGTCTCCATTGCTCTCAGCTGGATAGCCCAGGCTAGTCAGTACTCAGAAGCTAAGCAGGGTCAGCCCTGGTTAGTATTTGGATGGGAGGCTAGCAAGCAATACCAGGGCCATAAACCGCTTCTGAAATCTCTTCCTTTGAAAACCTTGTGGGGTTACCATAAGTCAGCTGTGACTTGATGGCAAAAAAAGTCCCCACGGCTTCTTACATCCATTTTCCCCTGCCATTTGTATTCACATATTGGATCACAGATGAGCTTTGTTTTTTTGCTCCAGAAAGTGCAATTCAGCTGGTTGAATTTTTTGGTGGTATTGTCACTGTTTGGCATCCACTGCTGTCGACGGGAAGCCAGCTCCATTCTGCATATACATGTGGATGAAAGGAGTAAAATATTTACTGTACTGAGCTTGGAGACCAGATGCTACTTTATACTTCAGAGACTTTGGAGGAACAGAAAGCCAGAAAGTGCTGCAATTTATTATATTTTTCTTTGGCACAAGATGTGATTGTGCAATGTACTGTATTTTAACCAGAAACATTTTTTTAATTAAAAAAAACCCCCAAAACATACCTGGCTGTACTGTAATGTCAATTGCTGTCGGCTTTTCTGTTATCACTGCTGTGGTACTGCCTAGAAAGGGAATTGCATATGGTATGTCACGTGGAGCAGCAAAGATGGGTGCATAAGAAAAAGTTATTTGCTTGGGTGTAGAGACACATGGATGTGGGCATAAAAAATTACTCCCTATTCTTCACTGTTGATGTGGTTCTCTTTATTCTAAGAAGGATAATATTTGACATTTTTTTAAAATCACCATTGCTATCTTACATATAACGTTTTTAAAAAATTAGAGAGCATTTTATGGCTGCTAATGTTTAACCAAACTTTGAAATTCAATTTCCTTACAAAAAATTGTGAACAAGGAGTAGTTTCTAAAGGTCTCGTAGCAAGACTTTGCCCAAGAATTGTACTAAACATCTGTACTAAAACAAATGTTTTCAGCCTCTTTGAGTTGAAAAACAAAATTAACACCACCACAGAGGTTTGAAAGCCTTGGGTGAGTTTGGGCCTAGTTTGAATTGTAATCAAGGCAGGGGTTGTAAAAAGAGTACTTAATGATCAGAGTTAATGTCAGGGAAGCTCATAAGGTGCAAAGAAAGTCTTTGAAGGCTGATAAATGTGTACCACTCTTCTAACTGGTCAGAGCAGAAGGCAAGAAACTGGCACAGGTACAACCCAGGGATTTGCAAGGTGGAAATTCCATAAGTAGTGGATTAGGAGAATAGTCACTGTGGATCATAGCAAATGGTTCCTTATGGGTCAAAGAGACCACCAGGCTTTCTCACATATGAAGCAGCAGGCCTACTCTCAAATTTGGCTTTGTCCCAAAATAAGGGACTGGAGAGCTGAAGAGCTGAGTTGTCACCACTGTTCCCTCTAAGCCGAGTTAGTGTGAGCTAGCTCACAGTTTTTTAGCCTCTGGCTCACATATTTTTGTCTTAGCTCAGGAAGGATGGCGCCAGAACAAACTAATTTATGCAGTAGTCAAATCGCTTGCTCACAACTTTAATCCCAGTAGCTCACAAAGTAGAATTTTTGCTCACAAGACTCCACAGCTTAGAGGGAGCATTGGTTGTCACTAGAACGTCTTCATCTATTTGGCAATCCCACTGTAGCTTTTCAGAGAAAAACTTTATTCATCTAACAGACTTCTTTTTTCTTCTTCTGACTATACAGATAAAGGCAATTAAGAAAAAGAAAAGAAGGCCTCGGGTATCAAGCGTAAGTGGCTGATGAGTGCCAACCAAGCTTTCCTCCCGTCCCTGCAGGGAAGCATTTGAAGTGGTCGAGTGAGTATGATTGTGATGAGGTTTAATGAAGGTGACTGCCCAAACCATATTACTTTCAGGCCTCGGGAAGGGTGATGTAATAGAATATGCATAGCAGGTGTGGGCGAGACGTTCAAGATGCAGACAGGACAAAACGTACATGCATTTTAAAGGTATGTTTTTGTTAACAGGCAGACTTCATTTTTGCTGGTAAAGGAAGCAACTAGCATAAGGTGTGGTTGCAATTCTGTATGTTTATTTTGGTGCACTGGGATAATTCAGCTTTTAAGGCTGAGTTCAAGGAACAGAGCTATATTGTTGAAGACGCAGCATCCCAACTTCCCAGTTAAAGAACTAAAATAACCTGGAAACGCCCTTTGTTTGTCCAGTTCTGTCCTTCACAGGTAATATGTGTAAAGATAGTGAACTTAGTATTTTTTAAAAAGCCTCTTGCCTGCTTATGCTAAAATATAGTATATTAGTGAAATAAGTATATTCTATCACAGTGTCTCATCTGGATAGATTCAGGTGGGTAGCAATAGAGCAAAATTTGGTCTGAAGCAATAGGACAAAATTGGCCCATTTCCTCGCGTGTGACCGGGGCCAGAGTTTAATTTAATTTAATGGATGCACATGAAAGCTTATACCCAGAATTAAACTTTGTTGGTGTTAAAGGTGCCACTGGTCTCAGACTTCGTTCTAGTGTCTCATGTGGTGAGTTTTGAAATTTAAGTGGCTTTCTAAGTTGTTATCTTTGCACAAATAATAATTACAGCAAATGCTGTGTTTAGAAAGGTCAGATAGGTCTGGAGGTTATGAACAAGAAGGGCCTTGCCACTCTCTAAATACAGAGGCCATACAGTCTGGAAAGTGCATTTGGAGTAGCAGCACATCTTCTGCCCCCCAGTAGTTGTTGCCCTTTGGCACTTCAGTGGCCAGTGGGAGGGGGGGAAATCACTGTAGGTGACAGCGTGACATCACTTCCAGGAAAAACCCTAATCTGGAACCAGAGCTCCCTCCTATCTATAAGGTTAAAGGTAAAGGTAAAGGTTCCCTTGCTCGAAAGCCAGTCGAATCCGACTCTAGGGTTGCGGTGCTCATCTCCGTTTCAAAGCCGAAGAGCCAGCGCTGTCCGAAGACGTTTCCGTGGTCATGTGGCCGGCATGACTAAACACCAAGGCGCACGGAACGCTGTTACCTTCCCACCGAAGTGGTACCTATTTATCTACTTGCAATTTCTTGCTTTCGAACTGCTAGGTTGGCAGGAGCTGGAACTAGAGACAGGAGCTCACCCTGTCTTGCGGCACCCGGGTCTTGAACTGCTGAACTACTGACCTTCCACAATCTGCAGTTCAGCATCTTAACCACTTGAGCCACCGCAGCTCCTTATCTATAAGGTTACAGACTGGCTTTAGGCCATTTGCTGTAACGACACTCCAGTGGCTGACTATGTAATGAAGCATTCTTGTGAGCTGCCTGCTCATGTAGGCAAAATTACCACTTAGCTGTGAAATGAGGTTAGATCATGACTTCTCTTCCATGAAATTCAAAATCACACTTTGCTTCCACCATTCTTTGGTTACGCCATACTTTTAGAAGTTGGTGACTATTGGAATGGAGGAGGGAGTATCACTGAAAGCTGACGCACTTATATTTGTGTGTTTCTTTTTGTTGCGGAGTTTGGGAAGGGTTATAGAAGAGACATATCTCTTTCCCCCCTCAAAGTCCACTCTATACATGTACTCTCTGATACAGGTTTCCATGGGTTGGATCTGGGTTCCCAACCTGACTTTCTGTCATTCAGTCAGACGTAGGGCTGCCAAGTGGGGGCGGGTGGCGGGTAACCCCCCGCTTTGGAGGCTCGACTTCCGCCGCCACGGAATCCGGCCCCGGGGGGAACTCCGCCCGCCAAAGCGCAGCATGGCTGCGTCGCCAGAGGTGACGCAACCACGTCGATCAAGTTGGGGATGTGGCCCCAATCGTCGAAGGGAAAACTCTATGGTTTTCCCTCCGATGATCGGAGCCACGGCCTCAACATGATCGACGTCGCGCACACGAACAACAACGGACGGCTCCCGGAGCCCGCTGAGGCTCCCCCACCGGTGAGTAAAATTTACTTGGTAACCCTAGTCAGACATCAGCTGCAACTTCCCTCCTCAGATCTCAGTTTCCAAGTATGCAGTAGCTTGATTGGGATTGGGATCATGTTTGTTTGGTCTTCCAGGGCAATTTGTTGGCCACTGTGTTAAATAGTATGCTGGACTAGTTGGACCATTGTTCTGATCCAGCATGCTTACTTACCTTCTTAAGGGGTTTCTGCCTTTCCCCCAAGCCATTTGCCTGACCTGACACAGCACCAGAAGGTACTGTTTCTCCACTGGAGGGGGGAACTGCAGAGGTACTGATGGGCTACACATAAAGCCCTTCAAATGGGTATATTGCACCCCTTACCACTTCAGGTATGGCTTGGAGGAGGAAGAAGCTCCTTCGCTGCATGCACCACAATCCTGATATGGGTTGGGCTCCCACCCACTTGAAAATTGAGTTCTCACTCAGAAACTCACAGCTGATGTGTGATTGACACACTGCAGGTCAGGCCAGTGAACCCAGATGCAACCCACAGAAAATCATAACATGTTGTTTGGCTCTGAGGTGTCAGTGAGCAGAGCCTGTACTGAAAAAAGAGGTCAGTACCAAGTAGGGAATTGAGTTGGTTGGAAGGAAAGGAGAATCATGGAAACCAGAGTTACACCATGAAGTAGAATGATGAACAGGAAATTTGGAAACCAGCTTAATGCTCCCCCCCTTCTTGTACCCATTGCTTCCCCCTTCTCATTCTTATCAAAAGGGCAGATTTGGATATGGATTGAAGAGGTGGGTATTAAGTTTTGCAGTCTACAGGTGGTGCCAATGGTTACAGCATGCTTGGCCTCCCTTCCATTTTAAAGCTTGTAACCAGAGTCCCCCTGCTCAACCTTTTCAAAAAAGAGGCTGTAATTTCCCACTCGTGGCACTGAAGCAAAGTTTGTGCTTCCATGGTGACAAAGGTTTCCCAGACTCAGGAGCTTGCTGAGCTTTTTACCATTTTTGCAGCTGAATAGTATTTTGTTACTTTTGACTTACTGCTTCCATAAGAAGAAAAGGCAAGCTTGATAAACTGTAATTTGAAAAGCAGGCATCATTGCAGTGTGGTGCTGTCTTGATGTGCACTGATTTTGCTGTGGATTTTTTTAGAGGGTGGACATTGAACATTTAGAAGGAATACAAACTTGCATTTGCTTCTGCAAGTCTTTTCACCCACTAGCTACTCCATTTCTTACTGAAGGGGAAAAAATTAAACCCACATCAAGCCCCTGAACATCACTTTGGTACCCTGCTAAGGTTATCTAAAGTCCTTTGGGTATATATTGCCAGATTTTAGCTGTGTTGGAAACATAGCTCTGTAAGCTGTATAGGAAACAATAAACATTTAGCCCTCCAGCACATGAGGGAGTGATCATGCCATAACTCGTAGCAGGATGAAAATGAGGCCACTTATATGTGAGGTATCTAGCTCTGTACAATAGAGAGGCCCTCTTCAACAGAGCAGACGTGGAGCCTTATGGGATAAGAGCGTTCCAAAACACCAACACACGCCAGCCTAATTATGGCATATAAAAGAAACAGAAAGACTCTGGTCTTCATAAAAGTGAGCCCAGGAGAGAAGGACTGCTTTCTGCAGCTTCTCCTTCCTTGCTGACGCTCAGCAGTACTTGTTGCGTCTCTAAACTGAGAGGGGAAGATTGGCTGCAGGCGAGTTTTAGTTTAGGCAAAATTGGCACATAGTGAAATAGGGCAGAAGCTTTCCCCTCACCGGTCCCTAGTGGCTTTCATTGATAAATGTAAATTTTAAGGTAGGATAATCTATCCCAGGCTGCAAGCACTTTGGACTTGGGCCAAGAGGCTTCTTAGAAGTCATTTGCTTACTGAGTCCAGTTCCTGTATAGAAAAGGACAGTTCAAATGGGAAGCGATTAACCTATATCTGTACCAAAAGAGTGCTGGAAAAAAATTATCTGTGTTTGCTGATCCATCTCTGCCCCCTCAGGGTAGCTGGTTGGCCACTATGAGAAACCGGGATGCTGGACTAGATGGATCACTGGTTTAACAGGGCACCTCTTATGTTCTTATCAACTGCGTCCTAAACTCAAAACACTCAGCAGTGAAAACATTTCCTTATGCTTGCGAGCTTTAATCAGTTTAACTGCTAGATTAATTAGCTAAGGTTTTATTTGATTGATCAGAAGAGGCCAGTTTTAATTAGTGGACTGAGATGGTCAAGGCAGACCTGTCTGGGGCTTTCTTAAACTATTTTTGGTCCGTCATGTTACTGCACAGAGGATGAAATATGGGGATAGTTGAATCTGACTCTAGGGGGTGGTGCTCATCTCCATTTCCAAGCCAAAGAGCCAGTGCTGTCCGAAGACGTTTCTGTGGTCATGTGGCCGGCATGACTAAATGCTGAGGTGCATGGAACACTGTTACCTTCCCACCAAAGCGGTACCTATTTATGTACTTGCAATTTCTTGCTTTCGAACTCTTAGGTTGGCAAAAGCTGGGGCCAGAGATGGGAGCTCACTCTGTCACGCAGCACTCAAATTTCCAACTGCCGAACTACAGACCTTTTGGACTGCAGGTCAGTGTCTTAACCTCTGAGCCACCATGGCCCTTGAGGATAATAATACTAACGTACAATACAGGGTTGTTTGGACTTTAAAAGATAATGTGTGAATGTAAAAATGTAATATACTTGAAAGTGCTGTTGTTATTTTAATAACAGTAATAATATTTAATAATATTTATTATTTTAATTAAGAGTGGTAGACTTAGTTTATTAAATTTGTGCACAATCTCACTTCCTTTAGCATCTCAAGAAGGCACACGCATTGAGGCTTTGATAACAGGCAAACATTGCAATTAATGAAGGGGGTCAAAGGGCAAATAAAAATATACTAATAATTCTTATCAGGGTTGAGAATCCTATTTTTGCATGCATCAAAATGGTAATGAGGTTCTATCCATGGGGGTCCAACCATGTGGTCACAGCACTAGTTACATGCATATATTGTAACTTTGCTCTCGCAAGGCAAGCATTAAAACCGGGGAATGATAACAAAAATGGTCTTGCGATGGAATGAATATGGTCTCGGCACCTGTCAACTGGAAGTCATCACCTGTTCCACTGTGGCAGTTTGCTTGGTCGTCATCGCACTCGTCCACAAGATTGCTGTCAGGTGTGGTGGGGATTGAGGTAGGCACTGAAACAAAAAAACCTTGAAAGGCTCAGCTAAAGCATGCTTTGTGATTTGCTAGCAGTTCCATTTGTTACAGCACAGAAGCAAAACTTCTTCCTTGCACATAGGAAACTTTCCTTTTTAGGCATCATCTTCTCATTTCCTGCCCTTTGCCCTCCCATTAATGTGATGTTCCAACTGAAGGGTGGGGAATGAACAGGGGATTCAGTAATAGCTTCTCTCTGTATCCATTAATTTCTTTTCTTAGCATGAAGAAAAAAAAAGATGTGTCGCTTATTCCTACCCAAAGTCTGCAAAGGCTAAAAGGATCGCATTGAAATCAGGTCTGCGGAAAGAACATGATTTTAAGATCCATATTTGGAAACATGGGTTTCACCTTCAACAACGGGAGATGATAGGAACATGAGAAGAACTGTCTGCACCTGATCCAAACCCAGGCCTGGCAACAGGTTTTTGTGCACTGTTAAGCATGGCACCTTTGACCTCTTCGTTGCAGCTCCCTCACAGTAACTTTTAATCGGTATTGTACCCTCCCAATATCTTCCCCATCATGACTCCAGCCCCCCAGCTGTGGCCACTATTCCTTAATTCTTTCTTCTTTGTGCTTCACTGTAGCTGTGCCGGAGAGGGTCCAAAAATTCCAGATTTCTGTAATCTGTTTGTATAATAAGATTGTCAATACTGCTGCCCAGTAGAATAAAAGGCCCTGGTCCAGACAACAGTTTTTGGACATGTAGACTATAGATGTAGTGCCGATCAGTACAGAAGAAATCCCATTAAAATGACCTGTTAATTAATCTAAGTCCCAAATTCCCATTTGGTCCAATGTTTATCAGATTGTAAACAAAACAAAAACTGTTTTGGATTAATATCCCCCCTCCCACAACCTTTTCTAACCTCCAGCATTGAAGCTTATTGGCCTACAGGCAGGGATTTGATTTTCATCCCTAAAATTATAATTACAGTTGTAAAATGCATTACTACAACATTAAAAGCTAATGGAGAATAGAGAGACCAAATGTTTCTTACTCAACAGCAGCATAAGCAGCTAGTGTGTATGTGTAGGAAAACAATTAATGCAACTGATCAATCTTAGGATGTGCTATTACCTTCAATTTCACAGCCCAGCAGTTCCATCCTCAGTCCTAGTCCGCCATGGGTGGCTCTTTCAGGGTAGACGCGAATAAACCTGGTGGTTACAGGCTCAAAAACACGAAGCTCGGGTGTGTCGTAGTTGGTATTGCCTTCAAAAATCTGCAGGACACACGAACACAAAATGCTGCTTAATCATCATACATTCACTTTTAGCCAGCTGAGATTTTTCACGCTGCGAGCTTTGAGCGGAGTGACAGGTAACCCAGGTCCCTTCCCCGAACCACATTCTCAAGTGGCTGACACGGCAGCCTTAAATGAGAGGAAGGAACAGATAGTTAAAAGTGTCTCTGAGAAGCTGCACATTTCATTTCCTGCAAATCAATCCATCAGAGGAGTCGAGTGTCTTTAATGAGACGCGTTTAAACGAGGCTCCAATCTGAAATTTACATGGGTGACTTGGTGGAGAAGTCAGATTTCACTGTGGACTAGATTCTGCCACCCTTCATGCAGTAATAATAAGACAACTCTTCCAGACAGAAACTTCAACTCTGATTTGCTCCATTTGCTCAGAGTCTTAAAAACTACAGTATTGCTTCAAGGGAGCAAATGAAACTTTAGAAGCAAAAGCTGTAAAACAGAATTCTGGAAAGGTGTTCCTAGGAAAGGATTACTTTTTATATGCTGGCTAGGATATGCTACAAAATAGTTTGAAGGGGGCATGAGGATCCTGGTCAAGGATACACACACACACACATCATTTTTTGGGGGGTGGGGGTATCCACAAAAGAGATCTCAACCACGACTTGACAGGCCAGGCCAACTCCTCAGGGAAGGAACAGCAAAGATAAAATCATTTAGGATAAAGCATCACTGCAACAGAATTTATCTGGCTATTGCAGTGCTTGCAAGGTTGTTGATGGGGTCTTGAGAAAAGCTTGCAAGGTTGTTGATGTGGTCTTGAGAAAAACTAAGAACGTTGTCTCAATCCATGGAGTGATGGCCAAGCTGGAGTGCCAAACCATGCTGGAGAAACAAATGGCCGCACCAGAAGGCAGAAAAAAAGCAGGTGCAAGGTGAAAGTATTTATTAGAGCTTTATAGATCCCTACGCATGTCGCAGTAAAGCGTCTTCAGAGGATCTTCTACAGTGTTTTTCAAATTCCACCTTGAGCAACACTTGCTTTTTTCTTTTTCGTATTTGCAAGGGACACAAGCATTTCTGTCCCTAACAGTACTTAATTGTGAGTATCTGTGAAAGAAGGGAACCACCTTTCTAAAATTTGAATGATCATCCCTAGAAATGTGGCTATTTATAACGAATGTCCTGATGAATGCAGTTTCCTGTTACTGTGTAAACAGTTGCAGTCTTAAATCTGTGTGGGTGGGAATGGGATTCTGGGTAAGGGGCAGCCGTGGGTAATTTTTTAAAATTTGTTTCTGCTTGGTAGTTAAGGGAAGGTTATTTTTGTCCCATATGCCAATCACTTTGCATTAGTGTGCGTGTGTTTATTATGTGCCTGCTCATAGCGGATACGGGGGAGGGGAAAGGAGAACCTCCCCTGAGGTGCTGGCAGGCCGAGAGAGACGTGGCGGGAAAAGGCCTGAACAGATAAGGAAAAAAAGGCATCAACAAGGTATGCCCGTCCTTTCTGCTGATTCCACTCTCACTCAAAGGGCCACCAATTATCCTGCTGGCCGACCATCAAGTCTAAAAGTGCTGCCGCCAAATGCCAGGTGGGTTCATAATGAGGAGGCTGCCCTGGTGTTTATCACAGGTAGAGGAGGACAGCTGTATTTGAGTCCCGTAGCACCTCAGAGACCAACAAGGTTTTCAGGGTGCAAGCTTTCAACAGTCAACACCCTCTTCATGAGATACATGCAGAATTCTTGTAACTGACAAAGGGAGCTTTGACTCTCAAAAGCCTATATCCCAAAAATGTTGTTGGTCTCTAAGCTGCCACTGGACTTGAACTGAGCTCTTCTACTGCAGACCAACAAGGCTACCCTCTGAAGCTATCTTCAAGGTAGGAGAGAACGACAAGGAGATCTCTCCCAGCTGTCTTCCAGGTCTCCTGTTGTAGTCTTTTGGGCCTTTGTGGGAATCACCAGGTGCTCTGTCAGCCAGGGCCCCAACTTTGAGTATATGTACCTCATGCAGGGGACATGGGACAGAATAGGGATACTCCGGGCATATTGCCTAGCCCACTGGCAGCTACAGAGGCAATCTCAGATTTTGGTGTTGAGGCCCGTGAGCCTCATGGTCCTTATTGAGATTGCCCTGATATGAGCAGCTCACATCATGGCTCCTCCCTCATGACCACCATGGGGCTCTCCCAGACCATTCTGGCCTCCATACATAATAGTGGGGCATGCGCTCAAGTTGGTTTTGTGTTCATGGATTGGAAATGGGTGAAATTTCTATTGTGCCCCTGTTATGGACTTTTACCTAGTAAAGTTTTAGATCTATGGGTTTACTTTGATGCTGCTTCTAAAGTTTGGTTTATCTTGCTGTTGAGTGTATAATTACTTATGAATCTGACCTTATTCTTAATTTTGGTTTACATTTTGTTATTCAACTGCCTTGATTGTGTTTACATAAAGGTGGACTAGAACTCAAGCAGACAAATTAAAAAAAAAATGGACATTTCTCATCTTAATCCTGAAAATATTTCCCATAATTCTAAATCCTGGCCCAACAAGGACTGCTCACACACTGATCTTTTATAAACACAAGTAAAAAAACAGGAGGAAGGAGCTGCATGTGCTTGAGTTTAAATTTAACAACAGCTGGCTCGATTACAACCAAGCTCTCTTTTTGAGTCAAGATGAAAGGTAATGGTGGCATTTTAGGGAATTTCCACTCAGGAAGTTTGAGTCTTCTTTCTTCCTCTCCTCCCCCCACCCATCCTTGCTTTGATAAAAGTTACAGTTGCCAGGTACTAAGCACTTTAAGATGAGCACAGCAGACACCAAAGAGCAATGCATTCCTCCTAAATAATCCAGACTCTGACAATGCAGGAGGCCCCACAAAAGGAGGAATGCAAACCCCTCTCCCCCCGCCCCGAAATGTTTCTCCCTTGTATGTAATGTAATAGAAGGCTACAGAAAATGGCCAGTGTTTGTTCTCTCAGTGTTGGTGTGTTTCACTCATTGTTCCTTCAGAGTTTCTGTACAGGACCACTAGTGCTTTCCAGTTTTTGGAAAAGGGTGGAAATGGCCATGAGATACACTTCGAAGACCTTGGCTTGCTCACAGTAGCACCCCACAGATTGCTGTAATTCGCTGTGCCTGTTCTCACCCATTGATTACATTTAGGCCATTTGGAGACTCAAGGGGCTGGTTTGCGTGGTGTAGAAATTGTTTCCTCTACACTTGATTACTATGCCCTTAAGCACTAGCTGTGGAAATTTCTGCCTCTTCCTCTGTTCTCCTCTTTCCTTTCTGTATCCATTCCTTTCTGTGTGATACGTATCCTATTGTACGAGCTACTTTGGTTTGCTTCTAGGATCTGGTACAGATGCCCATCAGGTTGCATGCTCCCTCCTGCAATATATGTTCCTGTTCGCTGCCACCTAATGTCTCAGTGGCAGATATATATTTTTTTTGAGCAGTCAGACTAGGCATGCTCCTGAGGAAGGTGGGGTTAGCTTAGGCCTGATTGCAAGGAGGATGCCTGGCTGTGGCTTTGTGTGCTGCAGTTAAAAAAAAGCTGATTTATACCCTTGACTTGCTGATGTGGACATCAAAATTTACACTTCCCACTTTTTCCACTGCCCTGATCTGGATTATCAGGTTAGCCTGATTTATGGCTACCATTCCCCAGGTGGGGGTGGGGGATCCCCCATAGGGACCTCCAGGGTTATCTAGTCCAACCTACTGCACAAGGCAGGAAATTCACAATTTAGCTACCCCCCCCACACCCCCAGTGACCCACACCCAGAAGATGACAAAACCTCTACAGGATCTCCAGCAAAACTGGTCTGGAGAAAAATTTCTTCCTGACCCCAGAGTGGCGATCAACATTTCCCATGGCGTGTAAGAAAGGGCCACAAGAACTAAGCACTGAGCTTAGAACTAAGCACTGAACTAAGCTTTTGTGGGCTCCTGTCTGCTAGTGGCCAGCTGGCTGGCGGAAATCCCCCCCCCCAAAAAAAGCGATGATGTGCGTGACACACTGGCATCACCCAAAGTGACATAGGCATGTTGGTGATGTGGGGTGTACATGATGCTCTGGGTTTGGGGCAAAACTCTATGTTTTGAAGGCAATTTGACCATAGTTTTTCTCAAAAATCAGAGCGTCGCCCCCAACGTCACCAGCATGCCTACATTACTTCCAGGTGATGTATCAGTGTTCCCTCTAAGCTGAGTTAGTGTGAGCTAGCTCACAGAATTTTAGCCTCCAGCTCACAGATTTTTGTCTTAGCTCAGGGAGGAAGGGCTCCAGAGCAAGCTAATTTATGCAGTAGCCAAATCATTTGCTCACAACTTTAATGCCAACAGCTCACAAAGTAGAATTTTTGCTCACAAGACTCCACAGCTTAGAGGGAACACTATGCATGTCACGCAACACCCCTACTCACTCCTGGAATGCCCCCCCCATCCCTCTGCTGGTGCAACAATCAGACCTGGCAACCCTAGCCTGATCTCATCAGATCTCAGAAGCTAAGCAAGGTTGACCCTGGTTAGTATGTGGATGGGAAACCATCGAGGAAGTGCAGGGTTGTTACACAGAAGGAGGCACTAGCAAACCACCTCTGAATGTCTCCTACCTTGAAAATCCTGTGGGTTTACCAAAAATTGGCTGCAACTTGGCAGCACTTCCCACTTTCTCCACCCTCTTCTGGTGCAAGACTTCCTCTCCTGATGTTGACCGTGGTATTGCATTACACAAACCATGCTTAATGGAAAACTAGGATACCTTATAATCTTAGTTTGCAAAACTATTTCAAACCTTAGCTTCAGTCTCCAGTTTGTATGGGGGAAATGGGGAAGCAGGAAAAATGTTAAATTGCAGTTGAGGGGCACAACAGAAGCAGATTAAGAGGGCACAACAGAAGTAAAGTCATTAACCCTTGTCACAAAGCACAGAATCAGAAATATAGATGTTAAGAGTCTCACAGGCTCAATTCTATGAAAATAGCATCATTTGGAACACAGGGAGCATTCGGTAAATACGTCTCATTAAAGAGGATTGAGAGGGCATGGCTATTTGGATCCAATTAATTTGTAGTTATCGGGATTTATTTTATATTTATGTGTTGTTTGAAAGCTCATAAAAGCTTCCTCTGGCATAACAGAGACTATGAAATGAAATGCTATTTATAGCATAGGCATAGGCATATGTTACTATGGAATCCAGGCTTTCCCATAATTATCGTTTAAATAGCAATATATAATAATGGAAACTTTTCTGTAAAAGGTTTCAGTACAATGTAGTGACGTGCAGGCACAAAATTCAATAGACATTTAATGGTCCCTTGAATCCTAATTATACTGAATCATTATCTTGTGTCATCTGTATAGTCTAGACCTATCTGTGGTTTAATTATGACTGTTCATTCATATGCTCCAATCATTTAAGAACCGGGTGGAGGAAAGATAGCATTATATTCTGTACTACTTGGTTCACTTGGTTGTATATAGAAAGAGAAACTGAAAAATACTTGAAATGGAAAAAAGAATGTAAGTTCTTACAAGACTCCAAAAGAATTAATGAGATTTCAGAAGGTAGTTCTGGATAATCAGAACCTGGCTAGAGGAGATGTATGTACCAAGAGTGGCAAAGTACTGGAAGAAGAAAGAGGAAAGTAATGACAGATGAGTGGAGAGGTCAGGAAGGGGCACAGAAAGAGAAATAAGGTTCATGGGGTAGACAGGTCCAAGGGGGGCAGTTAGTGCAAAACCCGCTGTATGTAAACGGATTCCTACAATGATTAGGGAGCAGGTTTGTTGTTTCAGACCCAAAGGTCATTAGAGTGGTCCAATCCAAAACTGAGTAAAGACAAACGGCTTCTATCAGCTGATTTCAGTGGCCTTTGGGTCAGGACCTGTGTGTTTGAGAGAGGGGGAAATGGGATAGAATGATACGAATAGGAAGGATTGAAAATTGAGGTGAACCATACGGGAAGAAAACCAAACTAATTCGTCTGAAGATTGGAGCCACAAGGGACAGTAGTTCAAACTATTTAAGACTGGTGGCTGTGATGTCAGCCCACTCTTTTGCACTTACTTCAGGGGGAGTTCCTCTGACAGAAATACGTTTTGGGTCAGACACAATATGCTCAAATGTTAAGGAGTCCTAGGGGAACTTCCACTTACATTTAAGGTGCAGGCCTTGAAGTGTTACATCAGGGTTTCTGATAAGAACAGCTTGGCTAGATACTGAAGAGTGTGGGATATAAATTTTTAAATACATAAGATGGCTTTCTTGTTCACAGTATGGGGGATGTCCCAGTGAGGAAAAGCAGCAATATCATTTTAAGAAGAGCTGCTTTTTATACCCTGCTTTTCTCTGCCCTATGGAGTCTCAAAGCGGCTTACAAACGCCTTCCCACAACAGTCACCCTGTGAGGTAGGTGAAGCTTAGAGAATTCTGAGAGAATTGTGACTAGCCCAAGGCTTCATGTGAAGTAGGATTTTCAAACTCCATTCTCCATCTTAGAGTCTGCCACTCTTAAACACTACACCATGCTAGCAGAATTAAGAGCATCGTGTAAATGGCTAGGGCTTCCAAGTTTTCGGGAAAGCAGCGCTCCCTCTACAAGAGTTAAGTGAACAGCATTTTGCTACTTAGAGGGTTGTATATAGATATGTGTTTACAGTGTTAGAACAGAACTGGGGATACCGAAATCCCCAACCACTGGCCACGAAGTTCCTTGGGTGACCTTGAGCCCATCACCAATTCTAAATCTAATCTCTCTCAAAGAGTTGTTGTAAGGATAAAACGGGGGAAGGGAAAACCACGCGTGCACCTTTAAGCTCCTTGGAGGAAGGGAAGAATAACAACATAATAGTTAGAAAGGAAGCACCATTTGTGCACATGGTGCCCTTATACACGCACAAAGCTTTTCTGCAGACCTTGGCCTTGATTATGTGCTGCGGTGCATGATTGGGATCCTGGGAAGCTACAGCTTGCTTTTCATATATTATTGCACCAGGGCTGGCCTGAAAGCCAAGAAGCAAGCCATGCGATTGATTGGAGTAGCAGCAGCATTTATTAGAATTGCTGCAGCAGATCAGAAGAGTTTGGCCCTGGCATCCTCTTTGAGATCAGTCAGCTTGTGCCATGGAACTGCTTGGGGCAGCAAAATGTCCTAGGCTGCTCCCATATAATTTGTTTCTTCCAACAAAGGAGAGATTAAACTGTGTTTAATTTTCAAGAAACATAATGGCTTTTAATTTAGGCTTTCAATCAACGGAGCTACTATTGCGTACAGCTCAGCTTGATTAACATTATTAAAATACCAAGGTCCTATTTTAAAATCCACCAGACTTCTAAATCCTGGGAATTGATGAAATTCCTTTATAATACATTTCTCCCTCCTGTACAAGAAATATTATTAAATGTGTTGAATATTTTAGTAGGATTACACATGTTACATAACATCCAGTTATTTTTCATTATTATTTTTTTAAAGTGCTAATCTCTGAAGCTTATTTTTGTCAGCAGCACAAAATTCTGAGTGGACTTAATACGTTTGCCAACATTCATTTTCGTCAAGCCTGCTGGTTTTGACAGTGAGGGCAACTGCCTTGAATTTAATACTAGAAGGCTAAGCAGCATAAGGTATGCCACAGCAGAAGCATATGGCCCTCTGTTTCCTCCCTTCCCCCAATATGAAAGAATACGTGAAAACTTTATATATGTACTTAAAAAACCAAGTCATTAGATCTCATTGTTGATTCATACACTATACACTTTATGACAAGTCCTTTAGTGGGTGCATCAAGGTCATTATAAAAATAGATGCACTGTTACACGTATACCCAAGATTACTGATGAAGAAATAGTTGTTTTGGAAGAACTGCAGTGTGTCAAAGATTTTGCCTATTTACACCATATAATCCAACACATGCTTACATTAGGTTACAGGAAAATGATGCAAATCAAAAATTATAAGAGATATGCACCATAAATGCACTGATGTGGATGTGGTATTCTGCAATACAGCATTATAACTGGAGGAATGCATGCAAGAAGAGCGCAAGGCATGGTCAGAGGCAAGAAAGGTAGCTCCAGTTTGCTTGAAACAAACTTCTCATGTTTCTCTAGGTTCTGTGGGATTACGTTTCCTTTCTGAGTTAAATGGGAGTCCCGCCGTTCTCTGCTGGAGAACAACTGCAGAGCACCGCAAAGACAAAATGACAAAAATTTTCTAATAAAATGCATATTTATCTACTGGCAAACATGTTTTTCCTAGATAGCACATCACATGATAGGAAGCCTTCTGTTTAGTTTCTGCTCAAGGCCATAGCGCCATCACCCTTTGAGATTACAGTCTCACCTTGACCTTCTTTTTGCTTCCTTCCATAATAAATTTCCAGTCTGATCCATTGTAGCTGTATCCAATTTTGAATTTTCTCATGAAGACCTTGTTTTCTCTGTGCTTGCCTCCTTGAATGATTATGCCCCGCACTATCTTTTCCTCACCAAGGTCTATCTGGAGCCATTCCTTTGTATATGAGTGAGTGGTTGGAGGTAGTGCCCAGCCTAGACGGCTTGTTATAAGGCGAGCATTTTCTGGGATCCAATTTCGATCAACTTCAGTGGATGCTGTAATCTGAGAGTCCGTGATGAGACCAGATACCATACCCAGCATGCCAAAGCAAGGATAATCTAAATTATAATGATAACAACAACAACAACAACAAATGTTTATTCTGGGCTATGTTTAGGTAGTCAAAACACTTCACATGCATTAATTGATAATCTTTAAAATATAACCTTTTAAAATGGGGAGCATTAATCAGTTAGAACAGGGGTTCCCAATGTGGTGCCCAATGTGATATACTCTAGTGTGAGAGGCCCAGTAAACCACACCAAGCGTGGCTTCAAACATAACAGGAGCAAACTTTATTCGAAAGAAGGGAATCCCAGCATACGAAGCTGAAGTTCAAAGTTCTGGCATGCTTACAACCTTCCTTCCTTCCTTCCTTCCTTCCTTCCTTCCTTCCTTCCTTCCTTCCTTCCTTCCTTCCTTCCTTCCTTCCTATTCCCCATGCTCATGCTCAGACTGTCTGTATTACATCCTTTAATTTCATGCTCTTGCAAGAGACACTCCACCAACCAATCCCTATCAAACCAATACAAAATAATACGAACTCTGAACTGGTTAACTTCTTGTTCCACACTGCTGGAGATTTGATTGGCTGTGCCAATTCTTTAAAATGTTGCTTTGGCATCAGCTGCCTCTATGGGACAAAGATCTGCACTGTGTTACTAAAGTTAAGCCGTGGCAATCATTTTGTGGCTGGCTCCACCTCCTGCGGCAGCCATTTTGTGGCAGCCATTTTCCTACTGTGTCCACTATGCTGTGCCAAAATTTTCAGTGAATGAAGATGAGATCTTTCACAGGAGATGGATGCTTTCCATAAATGGAACACTGCCTTTTGGCTCAGTATCATGGCCTGGATCCACACATGCCTTATATTACAGATAGAGGCTAAGGGAACAATGTAGGGGACCTGAAATAGGGACTTCACCACTAATATGTTTTGGCAGCTTGCTATGATAAATTATCTACCCATGGAGTCCCACAGTCATTACCCAAACACAGATTTCTTATATTTGAAGGCTTTATCTATTGTATAGGATATTCTGCCTGGGCCTAGAAGGTGGGTTTCCCTCTAGAAGCTATGCTGAATGGTGCTTAGAATTTTACCAGCTCAGATACCACAAATGCAATCAAATGCAACTTCATTCTTAATTTGACTTTCTGATTGATCATCTTTTTGCTTCCTTTAAAAAAATAATACAAATGCTTATGGAAGGTATCCTTTTCCCAAATGGAAGTCTCCTTTCATTAACTGAGGAGGTCTTCTGGGAAAACCAGGAAAGCCCATGCAATCCATTAATTTCCAGAGATAATTTTCTGAACCAGAGACACCAAGTTTTGAATGCTTTAAATGTATTGATATAGATCTGCATAGACATATCTTATAGTTGCAGATACATTCTTTTTTTCTTTTTTCTTTTTTTAGAATAATAGAAATAAGAACAGAAATATGTGTTCACTTCAGTTTTCAGACGTGGATTCATCAATCTTCTTAATTAAATAGAGGTTGTTTAGATGACATTTGATTTTAGCTACGAAACAATTAGTTCCTGAACAAATCCTCCTCTAATTATTCGGTGTGCCTGAAAATCTACATAACACCTTCCCCTGCTTCTAAAATGCCATCTTTGTATGATGGGGGAGTGGACTCAATTGTTATCTAGTTCATCATCTTTCCATCGAGTGCTACATGTGGCACACACTACAAAGAGCTTATGCTAACAGGTTCTCACATTCACTTGTGGGCAGTAAACTAGAACAAAACTATTCAGATCTACCCTTTCCACTGGTGTGACTGGGAAAGTCTTTAGAGGTGGGGGAAATTGTAATGGATTGCTAGCTAGAAACCTCTAAGTGGGGTTAGAGTGGTGGACTCTAAGATGGAGAACGCAGTTTGATTCCCCACTCCTCCACATGAAGCCTTCTGGGTGAGCTTGGGCCAGTCACTGCTCTCTCAGAACTCACTCCGCCTCACCTGCCTCACAAGGTGACTGTTGTTGGGAGAGGACTGGAAGGTGATTGTAAGATGCTTTTGCAATCCTTAGAGAAAAGTGGGGTATAAAAACCAACTCCTCCTCCGTACTTTGTGTTTTATCTCTGTGGCCCTGATGTGAAACTCAGTACCTCATACAGCTTACAGCCTGGAACTCTTGTTGGACTCTAAGGGGCTACTGGTCTCAAATATAACTATACAACTGCAGAGCAAGATGGCTACCCTCTGAAACCATCTGTACCCAGGGCTCCTTTTGTAGAAAAAGCCCAGCAGGAACTCATTAGCATAATAGGCCACACCCAACAGCAGGAACTCATTAGCATATTGGGCCACACCCCCGACAGCACAGCTCATTAGCACATTAGGCTGCACCCCCATGTTACCAGAAGTGTGGTCATCCAGCCACACCCACCTTTTGCTTCTTATTCTGTTCACCTTGTTTGTTGTCAAAACCCAGGGCTTTTTTGTAGCAGGAACTCCTTTGCATGTTAGGCCACACACCCCTAATGTAGCCAATCCTAATGAGTTCCTGCTGTTGGGTGTGGCCTATTATGCTAATGAGTTCCTGCTGGGCGTGGCCAACTTGGGAGCCAGCCGGAACTCCGTTCCTGTGCGTTCCTGCCCAAAAATAGCCCTGTCTGTACCTCATATAAATACAGATATCATTCCTGTCCAGGAAAGACCAGGGTGAAGTAGAGGGAACAGCCTTGGATTGTTCATCTGCCATCTATTGCCGTTTCTCCCTGCACTGATGGCCAGATACCTAGACAACTGGGTGGGGATCATTCAGTAACTGGTTTACCTTCCACGTAGAGTAGACTAGATTGGATTAATATTTCGGGTTGGAATAGATACACTTGCCATTAATGAGCCAGTATTTGCATTTCATCACTTGCAGAGTTGGCATGCATGTTCACTGTACATATTGGCTGCATTCAGGTGTCATACCCACTGACTGTTTATAAATCCATGATCCGAATAAACTCCTTGGCTTTGCGTGCTGTCAACTGATGGTTTCTTGGTAGGCATTAAACTGAGATTCTGAGCTGTTTATTCCCAGCTGGCTAACTGTGGTTTGTCCCAGCTGTGATTTGCTGTGCCATCTGGGCAAGGCTATTCCCCCTTTTTAAAAAAAAAGTAGTGTCATCCCTCACATCCTCCTAAAGAGAAGTATGGAGCAATAGACAAGTATGGTGTACCAGCTGCATTTAGGTGCTGTCGCTTTCTCAGGGCGCTCCTTCCTTCCACCTTCTCTCCCCACACACCCCACCAAACAAGAAGGTGCTCCAGAGACTTCAGCCTCTTCCAATGGGATATTTAAAAGGCAAGGAAATGGCAAGGAAGGGGGGAGAGGATGTAAAAGATCTAGTTTGTTTAACAGTTTAAAAGTTGAAGCATTCAGTAAAACAGATAAGGGAGGGCAGGCAGTCTTCAGCAAAGATCAAGGGGGAGGGGACTTGGCTTACTTTTTTACTACCACCCCGTTTACCTTTCATTGATTGCAACTGATCAATAGCTAATGGGCTGTATACATAGTCAGGCTTTGCCAGCAGCCTGGCAATGCAAGGGAGCTTCGGATAGCATATGGGTATTTCGCCTAGAGGCAGGAAAGGAGGCAAGTAACCGAGTAGCTGGAATTTATGAAGAAACTGTAATCTGTTGTGTACATCTGGTAGACTAATCAGGATTTGTGCAACCAACTGTGGCTTCAACAAACCACAGTTCATTGCAAAGTCTGAATCTATCTATTCTCTCCTCCTCACATCCTGTGCTACATTTATGTACACACACTGTATTAATCTGGGGAGAGTAATTTCATAAAAGACTGCCATGAGCAGCTGAGCTATAGGAGCTCATTTATTCCTAGCAGGTCAATAATATGGGTTATACCCCTAGGGAGTAACAATTGTTGAACATGGTTACAGGAAAGGCATATAGGCTGAACGGCATACATTGTTATCAGCTATTCTTTCACAATCTTCTGTAGTCCTGTGGATAGCTACAGTGGTAAAACTGTTTATTAATTGATTGCTTATGTTAGCTGTAACGTGGCTTCGTATAAGTACTTGTGTTTTCTAGACTGTTTGGAATATGGATCAATTAATGATAACTCTCCTATTCTTTGACAATTATCTTTTCTTCTGCAAACGTTTGTAATGTTAAATAGGAATTTATAACAACAACAATGCATGTAGTCCATACCTGTAATTTTACAGCCATAAACTTCAAATCTTAGTGATATCCCAGTTTCCCAGGTTACAGGTTTGATTCTAACAAAGCGTGTCAGAACTGGCTTGGGAAAAGTTCCATAAGCAACATCAGTAGGGTTAATGTTCCCGGTAAACACCTACAGGAGGAGAGAAAGCAATAATGTTTATTTTAAATGCATTTTAATTTTTGCCTTATTTGTAAAAAAAGTAATTACTAATAATCAATTAACCCAGACTCTAGGGAGACCAGAGGGGAAATGAATAAAGAAAGCTCATAGTCTGCTGTTGAGTTCCTGAGATGGTTAGCTGTGGACTACCCAGAGTAAGGGCATAACTATAGGAGTGCTGGAGATCTGTAATCAAATCTGGAGAAAATATTTATTTAAAGGTAGCTGTGGGGTGGGGCATTTGGACTGGTGCTGTGGTTGGTAGGGGAGTCCCCCCTATGCCTTTTCTCTAAGAGGAAAAGTTGCTTTTAGCCAAGTGGGCAGAGAGGAAGGTGACCTGTCTTTCCCCTCCTACTGAGCTTAAAAACTGCTGAAGGAAAAGGAATGATTTCTGTCTGGAATATGCCACAGAGAGAAAGTGTTAAGTATCCAAGTCAAATCACCACTCCACTACAGGACTACTTGTAAAGGGAATGAAAGACATCGGAGGTTCCAGTCCTAGATTTCAGTCATCTAATTTAATGGTGTCATAGTTAATCACAGAGTCAAGAATGTTTGAACCCACTGATTTCAATGCCTTTAAGAATGGTTAACTCGCCCTGACCTGGATAGCCCGAGCAAGCCTCATCTCGTCAGATCTCTGAAGCTAAGCAGGGCCAACCCTGGCAAGTAATTGGAAGGGATACCTCCAAGGAATACCAGTGCTTGGGACGCAGAGGCAGACTATCAAGCCACCTCTCTGAAAAACGTCTAAACCCCACTAGGGGTCACCAGAAGTCACCATGACTTTCAGGCATGCAAGCACACACACCAATACCGCCCCCCCCCAAAAAAAAAGAATGGTTAACTCATAATCATTACTCCTAAATAAATGTCCATAGGATTGTAGCCTTCGAGTCCTATACACTATAAAAGCCCCATGTCTCTGTGACAAACCCTAGCCTGTTCACTTAATTTTAAAGTTTGGTCAGCTAACTGGATCAGCCTCATTTGCGTGTAGCCTCCAAACTCCCATGTTCCCCTTTGTTTACTGGCATCTGAATGTGACATTCCCTTGTGTCTGTCATCTGCCAGCAAAAACTTCAGATACTGTCCTATCTTCTACATTATGGTAAATGGAAAATGTTAGAATGGGTTCTGGGGATTTCCTTCCTGCCAGTCTACTCCATAGAGGCCTATCTCAGTCTTAATGGCTTAACTATCTCTGGTGCTTCATTTCCATGTACGTCAGCATCTTGTTTACATACTCCCAGCATATTGGCCACATTTCCAGTCTCTTATTGGGTAAAGTAACTTTTTACTTGATCCAGAGGGAAAAGCTCAGAGCTTTCAAATGCAGCAGTTTTTGAGAGGTTAATGTGGAGAGGAAAGCACGTTCCTCTGTTAAGCTCAACACTGGCTGCGGTCACACGGAGCAGTAGCCATGCTACTGCGACGGAAGATAGGCGGATTTTTGGGCGCGATCTCACCACCACATCTGGGAAGCGTAGAGCTCCCGTGGTGAACCTGAGGCTTCCCTCCGAAGATGCGTGGTTAAAAACTAGTACCTCCGAGGTACTAGTTTCCGGAAACCGCGGGGTAAGGGCGGGCATCTGATTGTGTTTCCGGTGGCATCCGGTGCCTGCCCATGCCCCATTGCGAAAAGGTTTTTTTCCCCCTGAAGTCTCCAGGGATGCGCACAAGCACCCAATGGGGCATGCGCATACTTCAGGTTAAAAAAACCCCACACAACCCCGTTTGCCGTGCCGCACCACTTCTTTGGCGCGTCATGTGATCGGCTCCTCCCCCCTAACCACGGGACCTCGATGGGACCGCGAGGGGACGCCTGATCGTGCAGTTGCACTTTATTTCACTGCGGGGCAAACAGCCACGCCTCCCCCCCCCGCGATATCTGGCCCGTGTGCCTGGGGCCCCAGAATATTTTGTCTCTCAGTGCAAGAAATCTGTATTTTACTACTTTGAGTGCCTTATTGCTATTTTTAGAAATGTTTGCTTTTTGCCAGTATATGCCATGCAAATTCTGATTTCCTTTTATAATACATTTATTTTAAAACTTTATTTTAAAACTTGTCGATTATAGTATTGTGGTTATGGGAGCATTCACAGTTACCTACTCATGCCATGTTTTGGTCGTTCTGTCAGGGTAAACCCAGATAATACAGGGGTTCTTTCACTCTTATATAAGAAAACTGAACAGGTGTCTTGGAGAAAAATTCAGGTGGTCTGTCTAGTGACCGATTATGGGTTCTGTTTGTGAATGTTGTTCCATAGCCAGGGCACTAATGACAGAAAATCTCTTTCCTTGACAGCCACCTCTTAATTTGCTAAGGGGAGGACACATGGAGAAGAGGACAACTGACAATCTTAGTACCTAGACAAGTTTGTTTAAGAGAAGGTGTCCTTTAAACATTTCAGGTACCATTATCTTATAAATAAGTTCACTTTGTAGAATTGTTTAAATAACATGAAAACTTTTCTGATGACTTACATGAAATGTTCTAGATCTGTCTGACACCATTAGGTATTCATTCCATTCTTCTCTGCCTGTTGCTTGATGTTGTCATCAAGCCAGACAAACAAAGACATGAAAAGATACGATGCATCTGTTTTGGCCATTTGAGAAACTTCTACCACAAGAGAACTAAATTCTCCAGTGCCTGAATTCAAGGAAGGTGACTAACTTCCTTCTCCTTTATTAAACAATGTAAAGCTCCAATTTCCTGTTCTTAGCCATTTCTCCTTTTACGGGCACTAGTCCCTTACACCTTTCCTCCATCTTTCCTGTTTGCCCTTTACTAAGAACACTGTAGCAATAGAAGCTGGCTAGGTCAAGGAAAAGGCTCAGCTATCTAGCTTATGCCCTTGTGCCCTCATCTTCTTTGTGCAATTGAACCCACTATTCACTTTCCCTTCAGGAGATAAGAAATGTAGCGCACCAAATATTCTCCATTTTGCATCTTACATGTCTGGACTATTTTTGGCAACACAGTATTGCTGAGAACTAAGTTTCCATTCCTCACAGGAAGGAAGTAGCCGAGGAAGATCAGCAGAAATGACTAGTAAACATGGGCTACATTTACGACATCTGTTTAGCTTATTAATATTAATTACATTGGACAGCTAGACCAAGGCCACTAATAAAGCATGGCTCTCTTTCAAGATGAGAAGACAAACAGGATGAAGGAGGAGGTTATCTGCATGCGTGATAAGAGGACCGCAGCAGAAGCACAATTGTTCCTTTGCTTTAAGACTTTTAGAAATGATCTAAGCAATGGCTATTTTGGGCTTTTCCTAGTGACCGTTTCTGACTGTCACGGTACCGACATCAATTTGGGTCCATCTGATTTAATGTAGGGGAAAAAGGTGTTAACAACTTTCAGAATAACTCAACTCAGTTATAGCTCTAAGATCTGTATAGGTTGGATTCTAGGGTATCCGATTGCTCCTTGAGCAATCCATTAAAAGTTCTACTTGTATTAAGTATTATGAAGATGAAGAGCCTTACCAAAGGTTTATTTCCATCTTTAAGTGAAATCCAGTCTTCTCCATTGGAGCTGATATCTACACGGTACGTTTTCACATAGTACTTTTTCTTAGTTTCTTTCGAGATGGCTCCCTGGGTTCCAATGGCAGAAACAAAGCGGAGAAGGCCCAAGTCCACCTGTAAGAAGAGAGGGGGAAAAAAATCAGTATTGATTCTAATGTTCCAACAATCTCCTACCATGTGCGGTGGAGCCATTTAAACAAGGAGAAACAGCTGCTATATGCATGCAGATCCCCACAGGAGCCATTTGTAAGTGAGAGAAATGGGCAAAGCCATTCATCTACCTTGTGTGTGCAAACTGTCAAGAGGTTCTGCTGCATGTGGAAAATCACAGCATGACACCATTTTGCTTCCACCTCCGCCAGGCAGGTGTATGCAGACTACTCAGGTGGTCTGTACTCTAAATTCCCCAGTGTAAAAGTATCAGCTTCCAAACCCAGATGCAAATAATTATCCACCTGTGGTCTGTGTGCCTGATGTCTCCACACTGGCCTGGATCCAAAGGTCCACCTCAAGTGTTCTTCACATACACAGGAGCTTAAAGTCTCTCTTCTGAAAAGCTGCCTGCCCCAAAGGGAAGGAACGCTCAAGGACAGAATCCCATGATGCTCCTGGGTGACTGTTCCCTGTATGAGCACAAGGGACCTCTTTGCACAGATGGTGCCTCTTTAAACCCCTGTTCTTTTTTAAAAAAAATTCAATTAAGAGGAAAAAAATCCATGAGAAATAGCTCCTGTATCATTATTGCAAAATCAATCATGCTTCTTCATTTTATGTCTGATGTGAAAGTATGTGAAAACATTGACTTGACCAGTCAAGAGGAAAATACACTGAAGTTGCTGAATTTCTAAAATATCTTTGTAACGAAAAATAAAATGCTTCCTTTTCTCTTACAATGGTGAATTAAAAAAAAAAAAAACCAAAAACCACCCGGTGCATATTTCTGATGAAGTTCTCATTACCAGGCTTATCTCCAAGCATTGCCCAGACCTTGGCAGGGTGCATTAACTCTGCTTGTGTTAAATCTCTCCTGCATGTCACAGTCTTTTACATTGTTTTGAAACTTGCAGGATACAGATTGCATGTCTCCAGTGTCCCACAAGCATCCTTTTTCCTGGAAGTATGTCATACACCCGAAAGCAAGAGTGGGGTGGAGTGGGTGGGCGGATGGGTTAAATCAACATGCTCTGCATTCTCTTAGGGAAAATGTGGAGGAAGCCCCGTTGAAGACAGAGAGACTGCTATTTAGATTTGCCCGACAAATATACAAGTCACTGGTAAACTGGAAGACTTGAGACACAACAGTAGTACCTCTGTGTAAGAAAGGGAAGGGGTGAAACGGTGCTAACTTTCAGTGCCTCTTTTTTCAGCTTCTTAAGGCTAGTAAAACCCATGCGGGCATTTTAATATCTTTCACCAGAATCCATCCACTGTGGGTGAAACTACACGTTCAGGTTTTTAACAAGTTAGGTCTGGGTACCCCAGCCCCAACTCAGGTTCCCTGCAGCCACATAGCAGCTATAGAGGATGGCTTTAAAAAATAAAAGGGGAGCCCAAACAGGCATGGAACACTGCTGCACCGGAAAGAGGGGGCTCCTGCCTTCCCCTCCAGCCGTTTTCCATGCAGAAACAGCACAGAGAGGGAGTTATTTTTTGGAGCAGTAAAAATGGGGAAATAACTTCCCCCCAGCACTGTTTCCATGCAGGAAAATAGCTTCGGGGATGAAGGCCTGAGCCCTTTGCCCCACCCCGTGGTGGTGTTCTAAGCCTTTCTGGGCACTCCTTTGTTTTTTTCAAAGCCGTTCTATACAGCTGCTGGGTCACTGTGGGGAATCTCAATTCAAAGCCCAAACGTGTAGTTTGGCCCTGGGTATGAACCAAGGCCACAGAGAGGTAGTGACTATGGAGACAAGATTCAGAGAGGCCCTGCTCAACCTGAGGGTCCAGGCTTAGGAAAAATTCCACTGACGTGCAGGTTTAAATTAGTTGCCCTTGTATGGGCTAAGGAGGGGGAGGGAAAATGTATGGTGCACACAGAGATAACCAATTACTAATGTGTTTGTGCTAAATCAGTGTGTGTGTGTTCATGTACTGTTTGGATTGGCTCTGGGTGGTGTGAGGGGTGCCAGACTGAAGCTCTAGCCGGGGTTTCCTGGTCTGAACCCATAAGTCACTAATTCCCAAACAGTGCTGGAGTGTGCCGTGGTGTGCTATCATAAACAGTAAACAATTAAAGGCCGTCAAAGTCCTCATTATCAGAAGAGGCTGCCCATTACATCTCTGTATGATACGCTGCTTTGATCCTCTTCTTTCCAATTCCTTCTGCTACTGGGGGCAAGTAATTCTGCCCCAGTTCTCCCTGACTGGAACTTTTAACCACTTCTGATATAACAATTACAGAAGAACTACCCACTGTCCAATTTGCATTTAAAATAGGGTTGCCAGACCCCCCCCTGACAGGCCCCACCTCCCTGCTGCCGTTCAGCTAGTAGGCAGGGGGGAAGAGGGAGATCCATCCAATGTGCAGTGATGCGACTATGTCCCAGTAGTGATGTCATCACAGCCAGGATGTTGGGGTGACGCTCTGGTATTTGGGCAAAAACTTTGGGGAAAAGAAGCGAAATTTACCATAGAGTTTTTGACCAAATACCAGAGTGTTGTCCTGACATCCTGGGCATGATGACATCACTTCCGAGTCACATGGGCAGTGACATGGACACATCGCTGTACATCAGAGGGGTCTCCCTGATGTTCCTGGTAAATCCCCCACCCCACCCCTGCCAGTTGGGACCTGGCAACCGTAATTTAGAAACAAACAGCATAGTGCTCAGTTGCCTCAGTTGACAGAAGTCAGTTGGGACCTGGCAACCGTAATTTAGAATCAAACAGCATTGTGTGCCTCAGTTGACAGAAGCTTCAAAACCCCACCATATGCTTACTGAGTGTTGTGAAACACAGATAAAGAAGAACAGAAAAAGTTATTGAAAAAGAACTGAAGTCTTTACTGAATGGCAAACTTTTTTTTTTTTTGCTGCCAAGTCGCAGCTGACTTATGGCAACCCTGTAGGGTTTTCAAGGCAAGAGATGAACAGAGGAGGTTTGCCACTGCCTGCATATTTACGTAGCGATCCTGGTATTCCTTGGTGGTCTCCCATCCAAGTACCAACCAGGACCGACTTTGCTTAGCATCTGAGATCTGATGAGATCAGGCTAGCCTGGGCTATCCAGGTCAGGGCACACAACGGGTTGTGTGATCCTCCCCCCTCCCCCATTTCATTTCTTTCCTGATCTCTGATTGTTCGATTTCTTTCCTAGCAAAAAGTGATCTTGGAGGCTGTGAGCAGAAGAAAAGCAGGGGAGGATCTCCATGACCCTTCCCCTCACAGCCATTTATCTCCTTTAAATTGCCTTCTCAACTGATTTCACACCATTCAGGAAAATTATTCAGGAACCCACCCACATCCTTTTCCTTAGAAGTAAGTCCTGCATCCAAAAGCAAGGGACTGGTCAGTTTGGGAGGTGAGGTGGGATTTTGAGGAGACAAATGATATGACGAGAACAGTTTGGATCAGCCCCTCTCCCTGCCCCTTCTCTGGGGCGGCTTTTAATTAAAAAAAAAATACCAAAGGGACAAGGGAGAGAATCGTTCAGCTGAGCCTCATGTGTTGTTGGGCCTGATTCAGAATCTGAGCACTAATGTAGCACTGAGCAATCTCAGATCAAGTTGAAATGCTCTCCAAATTGCACACCACTGATTGTAAAATGTGCTGCATTCTGAGGCACATTCAGTGACTAAATTCAGTTCCAGGATGTAGGACTCTCCAGAATCTAGAAGGCTGAGGGAATGCGGTGCTGAGTTCCTTTAATGAAACGCTTGGCTCAGAAATTCAAACAGCTCTTCAGTTTTGAAATGATTAGGGTCCCAAGCTCGTACTGTTCAAAGTGATTTGAAATGCCTCTAAATGGAATTTTTGTGGGGGAGGTTTTTCCCTCTTACTTATCTTTCACTCCCCCCCTCCACAAAGTAGTAAGTGCCTCCTTTTGAATGAAGTCAAGAGATGGTCCATTATGAAGGTACTACAAATTAGACATCATACTAAAGCTTAATGTCCAGGGGAGAGGGCTCGGAATTAAGAGGGGAACAGAACAAAAAAGTTAGATTTGGCTACTTCTGCTTCCCATTGTCTGACATGTAATCATAATGTGAACCAGTGATTAGGTTTATGAATTTGCCTTACTGAAGCAGCTGATTAGCAATGCCACAGTAAGTGTATGATATACATATTTTTTTTAAAAAAACCCTTGGAAACTACACAGGAGAGCCTGCTGTGATTCTCAATTTGCTGCCGCTCATTGAGACTACGGCTGCTCTTGTTATTCATGCTAAGGCTGCAATCCCAAGCATATTTAATAAGCGAGTTCCAAGGAACTCAGTGGAGCTTCCTTTGGAACAAACTTTAAAAAGATGCCCAAACAATACATTAAAAAAACCTTAACAGTATGTTTTTTAGCTATTGAAAGAACGGCTGACACTTCGAGCCCTTGGAGGAGTATGAATTTTACCCAAGCTGTAGCTGGTTGTTTCCAAAGCATAACTCTGGACAGATACTGATGCTCACTGAAATAGTTTCCAGAAGTATCATCTCTAAAAGGCAGTAATTCTAGAATGTCCTCATTCCCTGAGATGTTCTTTTAGGGCAGCACTCCTTGTAACAGCTCTGCCTAAGCACTGAACTCTGATCAATGGGGGCTCACTTTGGCTCAGAGCCCTCTCCACACAAACGTCTGAGGTGGTTGGGTCCAAGCACAGAGAACCTATCTCCAGTTGTGATAGTAATATGATCCCTTGACAGCTGTTCTCTCCCCCCCCACCCCACTTTCGCATTCTGACTTTTCTCCTGTTCTCTCCTGTATAGCATTCTGTACTTTGGTTGGATGGCCGTCTGTTTC